AGGTAGTTGATGGGGTGGGGTGGGGGTGGGGGGGCACTGGGGTCCCGGGGTTGTGGGGGGTGTCACGCCGTGCTGCATTCGGAGCCGCCTGTGCTAGCGCCCGTCTGCGCGCGTGTCTGTCTCTTCCCCGGCGCTGCGCAGATGGACGCCACGAGCGCGTCATGTTTGACAAGATCACGTCCCGCATCCAGAAGCTCTGCTACGGGCTCAATGCCGACTTTGTCGATCCTGTGAGTCTGCTGGTCGTACCCCTCCCTCCATCCCTCCCTCCGTCCCACCCATGGTTGTTATAGACAATAATTTGCTGTTAGAAATTTTCCCCCTGGCTTTGCCTCTGTTAGCCTGCATGGAAATGGGTGGAAAGCAGCATACGGGGCACCTTATAAGCGACCGCGGTGCTGTGCCTGATTTGGGTGAGCTTGTTGCAGTGCCTTGTGCCTGTCCGCCACATCTAACTGTTTGTCTCTAGAGCGCTGATTCTCAACCAGGATGCTGGGCCGTGACATGCTGGGGTGCCGTGAGATGCTTGCAGGGGTGCCACGCAGGCTTAGCACGGTTCGATGAGCAAACACGACTCCCAAAATCACCCGAGAGATTTCAAACAGGAATCCGTAGCATGAAAAACATCCCGCCCTGTTGCGGGCTTGCTGAGCTCTTTGCAACAGGAGAATTGCCCTTATTTTTTGTCTGTAGTCAAAAAAGACAAAGGAAAATGAAGAGCTGCCATTTTCTGAGGGGTCTGAAAACGTTGAGGGCCAACTATTCTAATGGAAATAGGGGTCCAGAAAATGCTGCATTGAGGGTACCAGTGACAGATGTCACCTGGTTAAGGCAACCACCCTGTCCTTTCTTTCCTTTCGTAGCCCGATCCTTCCACATGTTTGCGTTTTGGCTTGTTCTCCTCCATACGTACAAAGTCTGAGACGATACATCTGTGTTTGCCTGCTATAAATTCCTCCTCGTGGGTCCCTCAGATGTGGCTTGAAGTTTCTGGTGCTAAAAAGCAGAAAAACAAGTTCCCTGCTACTCCATTTCGAATGTCTTATTTCCATTTGTTAAAATGGTGTAACAAGTGCTTTAACCTTTAAAAATGTGTTTTTAAACTCCTGCCGCATTTGCCTCCGTGAATATGTGGAAGAGAAGCCCTTGAATTCCGTTATTAAAGTAAAAGGTATACCCTTTTTTCCCCTGAACTGAACCACCCTCTTATTAAGATATCTGCTCTGTTCTGAGCAGTTTGACACTGAAAAGACACTGACCTGATTCGGCAAAGTGCTCTGCCCTGTACCCGTGAGATCTGTGGGACTGTGTGAGCCTGCCCACATGGAGCAAATTGCAGAATTAGAGGCCCCAGATCAGAATCTTTTTGGGCCATAGAGGTCTTGTTTTTATGTGCATCTGTAAAGCACCATCATAGTAGCGGTGCTATAGTAGCAGTGAGGGGATAATGTTCTTCAGTTCTGTTGAACAAAGCTTTGCAAAGAGGACAGAGCCTCATTGACTCCTTTGTACAGCCCAGGAAACAGCTGTGTGCAGAGGTGAGCTGTCTTGATTGCAGTCGTGCAGCAACTTGTTGGCAAAGCTGGGAATGGGGAGTCGAAGTCTCCTGACTTCTGGCCTGGTGTCCATATGACTATTAATAATACTGAAATTAATTTTCTGTGACTGTTTTTTATTCCGAGGTAGCTCTGAAGTTCTTTGTCCTGAACCACGGTCCCGTTAGGTTGGGTTTGGGACAAACTACAGCAGAAGAATACCCGTGCCTCAAAGAACTTGCAGTCTAATGCAGGGTTTGAAAATGCCAGCCTGTCCTACCCAGGGCAAGTGAGCATTTCAAACCTGCAGAGGACAGTTCCTGCACTAGATCACACTCGTATTCGACCTGATTCTGTATCCTGTCTCATAAGAACATACGTAGTGCCATACTGGGTCAGACCACAGGGTCCACCTAGCTCACTATCCTGTGCCTCACCGTGAGTAAGAGTGGACGCTAAGGGAAAGGGTATTTAGGCTGATTCTTTCCAGACTGATCTGTCCCCTGCCTCTTTCCCCCTACAGATTCCAGCATTCAGAGAAAGGGTTGCAGCTTTAAATATTGTACTTAATACCATCTATCTAGGATGCTGGTCTTGGATAGTATCCAGCACCAGCTGCCTTGGAAGAAAACACTCTAAAGATGTTTATGTGTCTAAACTCTAAAGATGTTTTTATTTCTGTTGTTAACTTCCACATTTCTGATTTCCCCAGGCTCAGATCACCATGAAAGTGATCCAAGGTCTTTACAGCGGTGTTACCACAGTAGAGCTGGATACACTGGCTGCGGAGACGGCTGCGACCCTGACTACCAAACACCCCGACTATGCCATCCTGGCAGCAAGGATCGCAGTCTCCAACTTGCACAAAGAAACCAAGAAAGTGTTCAGTGGTGAGTGCATGTTCGAGGGTGCTTGGAAACAGCCTGCGCTCTGGTCATGAGGAGGGAGTCAGAAACGGGTTGGGAGTGTAAATATGGCAAACCATTCCTTAAAGTGATTTGGGCCTGGGATGGCCAGACCTCCTCCTCTTCTAGCCACAAAACCAAGATCCTGACGCATCACAGAGCTGCAGGACACAGCTTCTGAGATGTGCGTGCCCTAGAGTCAAGAGCACTTGTCTTGTTAGCAGGGTTGCTTTGAAAAGATTATATTCAAGCATTTCTGTGTTAAAATCAGAATGCCTTCACTTTCCTTGGCTTTTTCCCCCACTTTCAAAAATAAATAAGGGTGAGAAGAAAATACATTTGAATCATTTATATTACTTGTAGACTGGCGCTTTCTGGTAATGGCTGAGATAAGCAGGGAGCTATCTAACTACTACTGGATACTTTGTTTGTCTAGAGTTTCTTTTTTAAAAGTAAATTATTTTGGGACCAGAAGGTTCTGAATACTGGATATTCTTGCCACTAGACAGAGAGGACAATAACCAGATCGACGTCTTTTGGATGGTGTGCATGCGTTTATGGAGGGGGTGGGGGATTGCTAAATAGAATCATAGAAAATCCATGAGGATTGGAAGGGACCTCAGGAGGTCACATCTAGTGCAACCCTCCTGCTCAAAGCAGGATCAGCCCCAACTACATCATCCCAGCCAAGGCTTTGTCTACCCAGGTCTTCAAAACCTCCAAGGATGGAGGCTCCACCACCTCTCTGGGTAACCTGTTCCAGTGCTTCACCACTCTCCCAGTGAGAAGATTTTTTCCTAATATCTAACCTCAACTTCCCTTGCTGTAGCTTGAAACCATTGCTTCTTGTATATTAAATACCTGTAATTAGTTGTAGACTCTGTACGTATTTTTGGCTTTATTTTGACTGTCTGTTTATATTTCCATTGCAGATGTGATGGATGATCTATACAACTATATAAACCCTCACAATGGCAAGCACTCCCCAATGATCTCCAAGGAAACGCTAGACATAGTCTTGGCCAACAAAGATGTATGTTGCACTTCATTGAATTTAAAGATCTGAAGAATCAGTGAACTAGTTCAAAAGGCTTAAAACAAAATAAACTGGGTTGATTTCTGGAACAAAAATCCCTTTATGCTGATGGAAATTAGCATAGATGATTGCTGTATTTTGAAGGGTTTGTAGGGGAGGCCACTTCAGAGCTGCCCTTGAAAGATGCTTCCAGTGTTGCTATAAGCAGGATATCTGTTGTGGTTTTGGTATGGCTCTCATCACTCTGGGATTGGGGCATGTGGGATCTACAATTAGTTGGACAAAAAATGGCTTTTTAAGTTAATAAAATAAGATTCCATCTTTTCATACAACAAACTTTCCAGGAAAGAGATGGTGTTTGGTCTCTCTCTTCTGGCACAGCTCTAACCAACTCCATGAAACCAGAATTAGGGTGCAGTTCTCTCACCTCCTGCATTTCCTAGTATCCACCTTGAGATCTAACTGGAATGTAGGTGTATGGATGAGATGGGCCAGAAGGTAGTAGTTTGTCTTTAGAGAAATGTTATTAATGCCCGGCAAAAGAAATTGAGATTTTATGCTAAGAATGACTTCTCTAAATTTTTTTCTGCCTGGTGCCTATATCTGCTCAGTTATGAGGCCTGAAGCAGGAAAACCAGGGGCACTGAACAATGAGAGCATGGTGGTATCGGTAATGTGAGCCTGCAGGCATGATGAGCGGTACAGATGATCTCCTGATTAAATGATTAATCTGTCTCCAAACTCTCTCTTCCTCAGCGCCTGAACTCTGCTATCATCTACGACAGAGATTTCTCCTACAACTACTTTGGCTTTAAGGTAAAGAGCAGGTTTCTTGCAAGAGTGAACCTACGTCATTGTTTGTTTTCAAGCCATGTAACCACCGAAGAGTAAGACCCCGCAGAACCATCCCTTCAGAAACTCAGCCCTGGGATAGATGAGACAGTGGGACTGTGGTAGAGACAACGTCCTGTATAAGGCAGTAGCCAAAGTGAACGAGTTGTGCCCTTTTCCTGGTTGTGCTTTACAGTCTCAGTGCAGTCAATATGGTGCCCCTCAGTCCTTCGAGTATATGATTGGTTAGCACGGGGACAGAAGGGATTGACAGCAGAACCGTTTCAGGAGGGAGCAAGCCTTCTGCCATAGTACACCCAAGAGTATGGTTGCTATCCTGTGCTGTGGGCAGCTGTCAAATGGAGCTCTGGGCAGTAACTCAGCTTTGCAGCATTTCTTTGTGTGTGCTGCCCTCTGTCCTGCTTCTGTTCCGCAGCGCTGCACTTGCATGTGAATCAGCCACTTCTGTTTGAATAAACTGGGAACAGGAGACAGGCCCAGCATAACTTGAAGCTACTGTGAGGGAATGTGGGGGAAGGGGTTTTAGTGGGGAGTATGTAACCGAGCAGCAGGCTGACAACAGTTGCACGCCTGAGCATCTATTTGTGATGACTCCAGAGCCTACTTGCCAAATGGCTTCTCTCCTATAACAGGAAAAATGCGGTTGTTCTTGATGACGAAATTAAATTCTCTTGGCTGGGGTGACTGTAGTTGATCCCAGTTTAGGGCTGCAGCCCCTTTGGCTCCTGGCTGCCATGTGTAGTAAGACACGGTCAGTAGGATCTTGGCAGCAGATGGCTGTGGACAGCTTTGCACATGTTAATGCTAAAAAAAATAACCAAAACCCAAATAGATCAGTTCTTAGCATTCTCTATTGCTCAGCACAGCCTCCTCTGCCTGCCTTATCACTCACTGGTGCCTTTTTCCATGCTGCTGCTGAGAGGATCTCACCCCAGCTCTGCCTTGTCTTCAGCTGTTTTGACAAGTACCTCTCTAAAACACTTCTGAGTGGCCCAATTTTATATTATTTCCAGCTGATGAACTTGTCTTTTCCCCCACTCCTAATTATAGAATTAACATGATTTGTGCCACCATTGCATTGTACACGTTCAGACAGTGCCCAGCACTTGGCCAACTGCTAGCACTCCTGTGACAAATGTAATGACAGGATTGGAAAAACCACCTGGAGGGGTGGAGCGAGCAAAACTGGGCTGAAAGTAGGCAATAAAGCTCTCCGTTCAGTCATTCCTCTACGTGCATTCAGCTGGGGAGACTCCTCTAGGCAGGCATCTTGCTGACTTGCACTTAAAGTACCTCCTATGCTTGGGTCTGAATTGGGTAAAAGACGGAAGAGCAGAGTAGGCGTTAGCAGGTGTTGAAGTCGGGGCAGGAAGGCTGAGCTGCTGGAGCTGCAGGTGTTTGGTTGGTCCCAGAACATGAGTATTAATCAGTCAGGTTTTTAAATGGGGACCTGAACTATTGGTTACTGAAGGATTTTTCTTTTTCTTTTCTTTTTAATAAAGACTCTCGAACGCTCCTATCTGCTGAAAATCAATTCAAAAGGTAAGAACCGACTGTGGTTCCAATCTCCCCTCTGTGGAGAGTGGGATCAGAGCAGGTGGTGAAATGGGGTCAGGCCACGTCCTTGCTGCTTGCTGAATACTCAGCTGTATGTTGGCCTTCAAAGGCGGCACCCACACAGCACCCTTATAGTTACCTTGTCAGCATTATAAAGCTTTGCCTTTCCCTCCTTGCTTTGCGCATGCACATATCCTTCCTGAGCACCTGTTGGTAAAATCAGTTAGAATCGCTTTTTTCATAGCTGTAAGGATACTTGCAACTGCACTAAGAATGCAGCACTGTTACCAGCCGCTAAAACCACTTGAGTTTGGCTTGTTTTGTTTTAAATAATGTCCGTGGGGTTTCAGCGAGGGACACTTCACTGATGCAGCATTTGGGCCCCATTGCCATGCCATACTTGAGATCTTAGGGCACACAAGGTACTGTTCTAGTGTGCTGATAGCGACTCACCACTTGATGTGTGGGAATTTTTAAATTGACATGGCTACCGCACCATCTTATGCCGCAAATTCCATTGGCATCAAGGTGGTGAGAAGTATATTATTATATGTAGAATCTAGAAAGTGCCTAGCCTTGGAGTCTGACAAATTTAATATAGATTGCAAAAAACTTGTAAACCTACAGCTAGTGATCCAGCTTGCCAAGAACTTTTTCCAACTACTCAGTTGGTCTAATAAAAGATATCGCATCTATTCAAAGAACCTTGCCTTGCTAGTGTAAGTCACTTACTTCTTTGGCATAACCCATGCCTGTCCAGGTGGCTTTAAATGACACACTGTTATATCTCTTTTTGTTTCTTCTCCTCTTCTACTTCCTAGTTGCAGAGCGTCCCCAGCACATGCTAATGAGGGTCTCTGTGGGCATCCACAAAAACGACATTGATGCCTCAATTGAAACCTACAATCTCTTGTCTGAAAAGTGGTTTACCCACGCCTCTCCCACTTTATTCAACGCGGGCACCAACCGGCCTCAGCTCTCCAGGTACCTCAGGGTGTCCAGCTTGCTTTATACTAGGGATGTCAAATACCATTAGCCCTTTGAGCTAGATCTGGACTGACCTCTGGTTGCTGGGTGAGTAGCGACAGCAGCAGAGCGAGCAACATCAAGGAGTCACAGAGGTTAACACAGCTATTGCTCACCCTTCTGCCAGCGTGTGACCCCAGTGGTGCTTTGTATACCAGAATTGAGCAGCAGGCCTTGTGTCCAAATTTCCGTCCCCTTTTGGAGCTGTGTGGGCCAAATGATAGGGCTCCGCAGACCATATCCAGCTCATGGGCTCTCTCTTTGACATCCCTGTCTTATAAAGTATTCTGAAGAATGAGAAATAGGTGTGCAGGGAAGCGTGTTCTACTCAAATGAGGTATTCTGTCATCGCTTTTAATATGGGCAGCTGCATTTCGTCAGTGCGTAATTAATATGTAACTTGCGCAGTAAAGAATTTTTCAAAGCATGCTGTCTAGTCTAATTGGGTTCCAAATGTAGCCTTTGAAAAAGGCCAGCTGCTGTCAAAGCCTAAGGCCAATAGACATGTTTTTGCAATTCATTCCCTTAATTCCAGAGGAGCCGTGGTTTCCACACTCATATTTTTGCAATGTATGAGAACCTGGAAGTGAAACTGACCTGAACCAAAAATGAAATTTATTCTGGCTATTAGCTATCCATTGTCCAAGCTATGACACTAAAGTCACAAACATACGTGATGAGAAATAGGCGTGATTTAAAAAATGTCTTGTTTTAATAATCCAAGTGACGAGGAGTGCAGGTAAAAAAAAATCAGCTTTACTTTAAGGAAAAAAATAGTTGCCCTATTGGAAGTGTGTAACTTCCCTGAAATGTGGGCTTTGTTTTACTATGCAAGTTGCATAGTGTTCTTTGCGTCACTTACCCGGTCACTGAAATATTAAAGATTGCAAAGTGTCTGTCTGCTGCATAGGGCCTTATTCAGTCTGTGTTTTAATCTTCTGGTGTCTCCATTCAGCTGTTTTCTGCTGTGCATGAAGGACGACAGTATTGAGGGAATCTATGACACCTTGAAGCATTGTGCGCTGATTTCCAAGTCAGCAGGGGGAATTGGCCTGGCAGTGAGCTGCATCCGCGCCACTGGCAGCTACATTGCGGGGGTAAGTGTTGCAGCTGGCATGTCCTGCCAAAGTCAGCCTTCCTATCCCGGGGAATTTCTCCACTTAACCTAAATCGCCAAATCGAGACTGGTGCTTCCAGGGCAAAGTAGCACAGGAATTAGAGGGTCTAACCCAGTCACTCACCTCCTCTTTATGTTACGAGACCAGATGGTCACCTTTCCTATGGTTTTCGTTCCAAATGATATACTTTCAAAAAGAAAGGCTAGAGCATTCTCTAGTATGTGATCCGATAATTCTGGTGTCTTCCTTCCCAAATTAACAGCTCAGAGTAGATGCTTCAGGACTCAGAAACGGAGACTTCCCCGTGTTATGCTGCCCTTTCTTATGCTGTGTTTCCAAGTTTCATTTTATTAGGAAACATGTTCTTACCCATTTGAACCTGTGCAATAGGATCTCCTGAAAGAGACTTGATAATTCTGCACAGTGCTTTGAAGGCCAAATCTCTAGTGCAGCACAAGCAAAATGTGGATTATAATAAGCAGAATGCTAACTAGAGCCCTTGTTAGCTGACAGCCATTGGCAATTGCATATTGTACATAAAACATGAAAAACTGGCCAAAGGAAAGCTGTCTGTGGTAAGCAGGTGATGGCACTGAGTTAAATGCCATTTTTGCCCGGGAGGGACATGGGCAGTGGGGTTCCTCAGGGCTCGGTCCTCAAGCCCGCACCATTCAACATCTTCATCAGCGACTTGGATAGGGGTGTAAAAAGCACCCTGTTCATATTCACAGACAGCACTCAGATGTGGGGAGAAGTGGGCATGCTAGAAGGGAGGAATAGGCTGCAATTGGACCTAGACAGGTTACAGGGGTGGGTGGATGAGAACAGGATGGGTTTCAACACTGACAAGTGCAAGGTGCTGCACCTGGGGGGGGAAGAACCAGCAGCAGACCTACAGGCTGGAAACTCCCTTTTCAACAGTACAGAGGCAGAAAAGGATCTTGGCGTCATTATTGATGCCAAAATGAACATGGGCTGACAGTGTGGGGACGCGGTTGGGAAGGCCAACCGTACCTTGTCGTGCATCCACAGATGCATCACGAGCAGGTCCAAGGAGGTGATCCTCCCCCTCTATACGACACTGGTCAGGCCCCAGTTGGAGTACTGCGTCCAGTTCTGGGCACCGCACTTCAGGAGGGATGTGGCCAGCATGGAAAGGGACCTGAGGAGGCCACCCACATGATCCGGGGGCAGCAGAGCAGGCCCTACGAGGAGAGGCTACAGGACCTGAACCTGTTCCGCCTCCACAAGAGAAGGCTGAGAGGGGATCTAGTGGCCGTTTACAAACTAGTCAGAGGGGGACCAACAGGCAATGAGGGAGTCCCTGTTCCCCCGAGCACTACCAGGAATGACAAGAAATAACGGTTACAAGCTGTCAGAGGGGAGATTTTGGCTAGATATCAGGAAGCGCTACTTCACTGTCAGGGCGGCTAGGATCTGGAACCAACTTCCAAGGGAAGTGGTGCTGGCTCCTACCCTGGGGGTCTTTAAGAGGAGGCTGGATGAACACCTCACCAGGGTCGTTTGACCCTACTACTTTTTCCTGCCATGGCAGGGGGTCAGACTTGATGATCTGCTCAGGTCCCTTCTGGCCCTATCAGCTATGAAACTGAAATGTTTGCCCTGTGCCTTCTTGGCAGCACCTCAGAGCAGCCTCTTTTGCTGGCTTCCAGAGTCTGATGACTGTCCCATGTCTTTGCAGACCAATGGGAATTCCAATGGGCTGGTCCCAATGCTGAGAGTCTACAACAACACTGCCCGCTATGTGGATCAAGGTGGTAACAAGGTATGTTGCTTTCCCATAAGGGAGCAAGCTGAGGAGGGAAACCAGAACTTAGATCTGAATAAACCAGCTGTGGTTGGTTAAAGATGGACTGTTAGCATGGATGAACTGGAGGGATGATTGTAGGCGATGTGTGCTAAAAAGCAGTATCTTGTTCCCCTCTCATGAGTATTTTTCTTTCCTCCTTTCATCACAAACTCCATGGTGCTAATCTTAGAAAAAAGGGCTGGCAGGACCCTCAGGAAGTCGCATTAGGTCCAGCCCCCTGCTCAAGACAGAATCATCCCTGTCTAAACTACCCCGACAAGCTTTTGTCTAACCTGTTCTTAGAAACTTCAGGAACAAAATAAATATGTTTTTACTGTCTTTCAAAAGGATGCAAATCTTTTGGTCTTACAGGGATACTTATTTTATAGCAGCCTCTCCCTCTGGTTTTTTGGTAGCCCCTTGAATCTGTTATATCGATTTCAAAGCCAAGTTGTTGGCTCCAGACAGCTTGGTCCCTCGAATGGAAAACAGACTTGACCCTCCATGCTGTACCAGTTTGGGGTTACGAGGAGAGATGCTCCTTCACATCACTGTCTCTCAAGTGGTGCCCGGTCTAGTAGTGCACAGTTGGTACTTGTGTTACACAAGCAGTGCAGCCATTGATGGCATTCCCCTGTATTTGCCTGCCCATTCTGTTCTGACCTTGGCTGTGTTGTGTCTGGCAGAGACCTGGGGCCTTTGCCATTTACCTGGAGCCGTGGCACTTGGACATCTTTGAGTTTCTCGATTTGAAGAAGAACACCGGGAAGGAGGAGCAGCGAGCTAGGGACCTCTTCTTTGCCCTCTGGATTCCTGATCTCTTCATGAAACGGGTCGAGACCAACCAAGTAAGGGCTGGGTTGGTGCAGCATGGTCTATTAATGAAATGATAACAATATTCCAGGCGAAATGGATTGAACCTGTTGAACTCCTCCAGTAAACAGATCCCCTCGGTATGGCATGCACATGCTCCAATGCAAGTTGCATTTGGAGGAGTCAGCAGTCATTCAGGACTGAATGTTCAGCTTTTATATTAATGTAAGCTGATGTGTAAACTCACATGAATAATTTCTTATTAAATCTTTCTTATTTGCAATAACTCTTTTCTCTCAACTGATAGCGCCGCCATTTCCAGGGTGAGAAAAACAGTCTGTTCACCCTTCTGTATCCCCTGGTGGGGCAGGGAGCACCCAGGGGAGATACCCCACATTGGCTGACTTATTTCTCTTGGTGGAGATGGCAAGCCTCAGGGCGTGTGTGTGTTTTTCCTCCTCTCCACAGGATTGGTCTCTGATGTGTCCCAACGAGTGCCCTGGCTTGGATGAGGTCTGGGGAGAGGAGTTTGAGAAACTGTATGAGAGGTATGCAGGGTGGGCAGATCTGTGGGCACTGGTGGTCCTTACACCTCCCCTTTATCAAGTTACCATTGCTGTCTGGTACCTGGGGGCCAAACCTCAGAAACCCAGTCCCGTGTCATGTCACTTATAGTCTGATTACTTTCCAGGCATTTAGTGCAGATAGAGAGAGGTGATGTCTGCTCGTGGTTTGCCCCAGCTTGTGAAATTCTGTACGAGTGCTGATCTCAGCCTATTATACACAAGCAGATAGACGTCTCAGTGGTTTCATACTTGTCTGTGGACCACTAAGGATGTACTGAACAGCTTCCTGCCTCCAGCAGGGTGGGGGTGGGCCCAGTATCCTAACACTGAAGAGCCTGACTCTCCTCTTCAAATTTGGCTTGCATTGTAAGCAAGAGAGATCTGACCATCATGCAAACATTTGACTAGGTTAGGTAAAGAAGCTAAGCCAGGGAATGCAAGCACTTAGCAAGGTGCGCTTACTTTGTATTGCAGGTATGAGAAGGAGAACCGTGTGCGCAGGGTGGTGAAAGCCCAGCAGCTCTGGTATGCCATCATTGAGTCCCAGACTGAGACCGGTACCCCTTACATGCTGTATAAGGACTCTTGTAACCGGAAGAGCAACCAGCAGAACCTGGGCACCATCAAGTGCAGCAACCTGTGCACGGAAATAGTGGAGTACACCAGCAAAGATGAGGTGGGTGGGGCCTGGGGCTCATTGGAGATGCGTATAGGAAGCTGTGCTTGTTCCTGGCATGGATGTTCAGAATGTAAATCTGCCCCGAGCCAGGTGAGGCTGGGTATCATGGGTTCTGCTTGTTGGCTTTCTTTGGCAGTCGTAGCCAGGGAACTTCAGGGCAGGTGGCTAAGGTACTTTCACAGCTTGTTGACTTTGGGAAGCTTTGCTTATCTTCTCCATTCAAGAGTCTGGTGCAAACAACAACGTCTTCCCTAGCAAACCCCTGCCAGCTCAGTGGGGAAGCGCCCTGCTTTGTTTGCACCTACCCGTGGGGGTTCCTGTAAGGAAGGGTAGGGCTCACATCAGCACTTCAGTCATTTCTATGCATCCTGTTTGCTTTAAAGTCAACAGGCAGCAGTTATCAACACCCGAGTCCTGGAGAAAAAAGCATGGGGCTGAAGCAGGCTGTGTTATAGCCAAAAGTGCTTTCTGTGCTATAGGCGTCCTGCTTTGTACACTGCTGGAACAGGGTCCTACAGAGGGGAGGGGAGGAGTGAAGTAATGAGCAGGTTTTGGCTATTGATAGTGGAACGTGATTCCCCTGGGTGTGTAATTAGTCGCAGGGGATCCTGTTTGGTAATATCTAGCTCTAAAAAGCATGAGCCTCTGCTGTCCAAGCCATGGAGGATGCCTCTGGTAGCTGATTCATAAGTCTGTATGTGTGTACTGCAGCCCCTAGGGAAGACAAGCGTGGGCTAGAAAAGGGGATGATGCAAACAAATGAAGCAGGAAAGGCAGACCATATAACTGTGTCCCAGCAGTATTGGGGTCAGGTTTTCCTTGTGCCCTGCCGAAGTCAGGTCTCGGTCAGAGTCAGACACCTGCTTCTGATCCCTGTTGGAGACTAGAAGAGTCAGGGCTGTGCTTCATCGTGGCATTCTCCATCCCTGGATACCTTTGTCTTCTCCTGACGACCTAGGTTAGCTTGGATGAGATGAACATGCTCTCATCCTTGTGGCCCACATGGTCCTGCACATTTTACCTCTCTGTCCCGTCTCCTTAGGGCAGTGAACGTGCTCTGGGAGCTGAGCTGGCTGCATATTTTGCTCTTGCCAACACTGGCTATTTCTATCCTTGCTGTTCCAGGTTGCAGTTTGTAACTTGGCCTCCATAGCCCTGAACATGTATGTCACCCCAGAGCACACCTATGACTTCAAGAAGCTGGCCGAGGTCACTAAAGTCATCGTCCGGAACTTGAACAAAATCATCGACATTAACTACTACCCTGTGCCGGAGGTATGCGGGGAGCACTGGGAGGCCAGGGGAGCTGACGGGGTGTGTTGGGAGTCTGGGAGCAAAGGAGCTGCTGAGTTAAGTTGTCTAGGGTAAGGCTGAAGCAGAATTCCTCCAACCACGAGTGCTATAAAACTAGGTGGAGGTTTGAATCTGGCTGTTGGTTTCTGCAGACACAGTCATCAGCAAAACCCCTGTGTGTACCATCCTCCAGCAGGCCTGTGGCCTAACTCAGTAGCAGACTTGCATAATGTCCCGGACCATTGCCAGTCTGAGCTCTGAAGGGATTTTTGAAGCAGGTTTCAGCGGCGGCTGCTGTAGAGTCCCGTTCTGTGCATACGACATTCAGCAGGGCAGAGAGCAAGGCAGGACTGTGTTGGAAAGGCCTGAAGGAATTGGACTTAGAAATTAGGCCTTTGGTGTTGTGATTTGCTTTTTCGCTGAAGCTCTTTCTTTCAGCATCATAGAAAAGTTCAGGAAAGTGGGAGGTAGAGATGGGTGTGGCTTAGCAGAGAAGAATGAGGATGGCGGGGAGATAGTGGAGAGCCTGTGGGCCTCCCTCCTCGAGGGGTGAGGTTGAAGGAGGTTGTGTCCAGGGGGCAGAGTTTTGAAGGCAAAAGGCCAAAGCTTTCAAAGGTGAATGGTGACTTTGAGTGCCTGTCTTCAGACTCCTTCAGAAGGGCCTGATTTAGAGGAAGTGCTGAGCACCTGCCTTCTCAAAACCTGCGCCTGTGAGATGAATGCAAAGCGTTTTTGCAAAATCACCTGCTGCTTTTGAAAACCTTGGCCCTTGAGCTTGCCTTCGAGGCCCTCTGTAAGAGCAGGTGACAGGAAGCAAAGGGGAGGAGGATGAAAGAGGAGCTGCTTTGCCTGGCTGGACCAGTGAGGAAGGTGAAGACTGGGGGGGCTGCATGTCGTGAGGCTGGGGTGCCGGTGTTCTCAGGGTCCTCTTTGCTCCAGTGATCGATTCCCTTTCCTTCCCACCCAAATGCCACGCAGGCTGAGCGCTCCAATATGCGCCACCGCCCCATCGGCATCGGTGTGCAAGGCCTGGCGGACGCCTTCATCCTGATGAGATACCCCTTTGAGAGTCCCGAGGCCCAGCTCCTGAACCAGCAGATCTTTGAGACCATTTACTACGGCGCTTTGGAGGCCAGCTGCGAGCTCGCCAAAGAGCAAGGGCCATATGAGACATACGAGGGCTGTCCCGTCAGCAAAGGAGTGAGTACCAGGGCCAGGTACCTGCCCTCCAGAGCAGCACGGGTGTCAGGGCCAGTGACTGCCTGTGGTCTGGGAGCAGCGAAGACAAGCTAACGCTGCTAGCTTCACAAAGTTTGCTCGTTTCTTCCAGCCGTCTGGCTCTTTTTACAGCTCTGCTGTTGCCAAACATTAACAGGACTGAGTTCAAGGGCAGACAGCATGAGTTCAAGGTTGCCTGTGATTACTTCTGGCTGGGCAGGGGTCACTTCCTGGCAGTGTTCAGATATTTTTATCTGCTTGCTTGATAGCTCTGGGGCTGGGTGTTTGGACTGGGAGGCAAAGGGTGCAAGATCTTAAAGTTAAGGTGCTTTTATGTAAGCTGTACGGGGCCCTCTGAGCCTGTATGTCAGAAGTCCATGCCCAGTGTCCCTCATTTGGGAGTGGGTGTGCTCGCTGTCACAGAACTGATGAAACACTGAGCTGCCTGCGGGTGACCAGTGGTGAAGCAAAAGCATCACTTTGTGTTCACTTGTTTGCATTGAGGCCTCCAAAGGACAAAGGAAAGGATGATTTTTCCCTAAATAAGCCTTAGTCTGAATGGGGTCATGTCTCTGTTCTTCAGATCCTACAGTACGACATGTGGAACGTCATCCCTACCGACCTGTGGGACTGGAAGTCCTTGAAGGAGAAGATTGCCAAGTGAGTCAAGTGCCCCTATCCCCAGGGGACATTGCTCTGTTGGTTGATGCTCCACTCGAGGTCAGACCGACCACCAGATTTGGGGCCAGGAAGGAATTTTACCCCATGGTCAGATTGGTATGGACTGAGGGGGTGGTTTGCCTTCCTCTGTCGTGGGGTCTGTGGCCCCATACCTGGGATCTTGAGCAAATATTAACATTTTATAGAAGCAGGACATTGGCTGCTGTCATTCCTCAGCTTCACCTGTGGCAGGTTCAGGTGCTGTATCAAGGTTGACAGTAATTTTATGAAAAGGTTAGTTTATGGTTTGTCTGGAATGGTTTGGATAGGGCTGATCCTGCTTCAGGCAGGGGGAGGGACTGGATGGCCTCCGGAGGCCCTTTCCAGCCCCACTTCTCTGATTCTACATCTGATAGTGCCAGAGACTAACACTAGGAAGTGTGCCCTCCTTTAGGAACATGGCTGTGTAAAAATGTAGCCAACTCCACAGATGTGTGCTTTAATGACTCATTTTTGCTGTCTTTTACTCTTGCTTGCCATGCAGAGCCAGAAGCAGCAAAGTGACCTGGATGCTGATGCTGGGTCACCAGCTGAATTGTTCAGGTTTCAGTTACTTACGTTTCTGGATATGTGGTAGCACACTCAGTGGAAGCTGCCTAGGCTGAGTGCAGGAGTGGAGACAGGGTTCACTGGACTGATTATTCAGAAAGAACAGCAGCCATCAACTCCCTGCAGAGTTTTTCCAGAGAGGATGGAGCTGGACTGTTCTCCGTGGTGGCAGATGACAGAAGGAGCAATGGGTTCCAGTTACAGCAGGGGAGGTTTAGGTTGGATATTAGGAAAAGCTTTCTCACAAGGAGGGTGATGAAGCAGTGGAAAAGGTTCCCCAGAGGGGTGGTGGCATCTCCATCCTTGGAGGTGTTTAAGAACTGGGTAAACAAAGTCCTAGCTGGGATGATGTAGTCAGGGCTGGTCCTGCTTTGAGCAGAGGGTTGAACATGATGCGACCTCCTGAGCTCCCTTCCAACCCTCATTCTCCGCGATTTTAAGAGCTAAGCTGTGAGCATTGTGAGTAGCAATGTCATAGAGAAGCAGTGTGAAGCTTTCTGTTTTTTTAAATGCCATTGGAAGGGGTTTAATATCTAGGTTTGTCCCCAGTGAATCTTTCCACTTAGTACCTCATTGCACTAGGCACTTACAGGTTGTCAGAAGGCTACACATTTTTGGAGGGTGTCTGTCAGTCAGTCCTAGTCAGCCAGTGAATGATGGGAATCATTTTCCATGTGCACTGATGACGAGGAAGGGTGAAGGAGAATCCTTGCCCTCCATCGAAGCTGACCTCGTGAAGGAACACCTTGACAGGCTGAACACCTTCAAGTCAGCCGGCCCTGACGGTTTACACCCAAGGGTACTCAAGGAGCTGGCAAGAATCAGAGCTCAGCCTCTGGCATGGATCTTCGAGAGCTCCTGGCGCTCTGGTGAAGTGCCTGAAGATTGGAAGAAGGCCAATGTGGTGCCTAACTTCAAGAAAGGGAGGAAAGTAGATCCAGCAAACTACAAGTCCATCAGCCTGACCTCTATCTTCGGGAAGGTCTTGGAAAAGATTATCAAAGAGGCCATCCTTAACAGGCTAGCTGACGGCAATATCCTGAAGGATACCCAGCATGGGTTTGTTGTGTGTAGGTCTTGCTTGACCAATCTCATTTCCTTTTACGACCAGGTGACCTATCACCTGGACAAGGGGCAAAAGATTGATGTCGTATATCTTGACTTCAAAAAAGCCTTCGAGCTAGTATTCCATAATCACCTCTTGGCAAAACTGGCTGATTGCGGCCTTGACCTCACCACGATCCTCTGGCTGGGGAGTTGGCTCTGCGGTAGGACCCAGAAGGTGGTGGTTGATGGAAGTCAATCGTCTTGGTGTGCGGTCACCAGTGGGGTCCCTCAAGGCTCTGTCCTAGGGCCCTTACTGTTTAACATCTTCATCAATGATGTGGACATTGGTGTCAGAAGCGGGCTGGCCAAGTTTGCCGACAACACCAAACTTGGGGGTAAAGCGTCCACACCTGAGGACAGGAGGGTGACCCAGACAGATCTTGACAGGCTCATGAAACAGGCGGATGAGAATCTGATGGTGTTCAACACCGAAAAATGCAAGGTTCTCCACCTTGGGAGGAAAAACCTGCAGCATCCTTATAGGCTCGGCAGTGCTACCCTGGCTAGCACTACGGAAGAAAGGGACTTGGGGGGTCATGATTGACCACGAGATGAACGTGAGCCTGCAATGAGACGCTGCAGCTAGTAAAGCGAGCAAAACGCTGGCTTGCATCCATAGATGCTTCTCAAGCAAATCCCGGGACGTCATTCTCCCATTGTACTCGGCCTTGGTGAGGCCGCAGCTGGAGTACTGTGTCCAGTTTTGGGCTCCGCAATTCTAAAAGGATATGGAGAAGCTTGAGAGAGTGCAGAGAAGAGCCACGCGCATGATCAGAGGTCAGGGAAGCAGACCCTACGATGACAGGCTGAGAGCCCTGGGGCTCTTTAGCCTGGAAAAGCGCAGGCTTGGGGGTCATCTGGTGGCCACCTACAAGTTTATCAGGGGTGCACATCAGGATCTGGGGGAACGTCTGTTCACCAGAGCGCCCCAAGGGATGACTAGGTCAAATGGTCACAAACTCCACCACGACCGATTCAGGCTGGACATAAGGAAGAACCTCTTTACTGTCTGAGCCCTGAAGGTTTGGAATAGACTGCTGCCAGAGGCAGTTCAAGCACCCACTTTGAACACCTTCAAGACACATTTGGATGCTTATCTTGTTGGGATCCTATGATCCCTGCTGACTTCCTGCCCATGGGGCAGGGGACTGGACTCGATCCTCCGGGGTCCCTTCCAGCCCGAATGTCTATGAAATCTATGAAGTCATCTTTTCACGCAGTGCTTGACTCTAAATACATTCTGTTAGCTTTTGCCACGCTGAGAGGCATCCTCCAAAGTGGGACACAGGCATAAATGGAAGTGGGTGAATTTCTCTCTGATGTTATGCCATCTCTGGAGAGAGCACTTGTGTCTGTGCTGAGCTCTTTCTCTGTCTAGGCAGTGTGAGATATTTCGGGTCAGTCAGTTGAGGACTCAGGGAGGTGAGACTTCAGGATGACTCAGTGGTGGTTTAAAAGACTTCCTGCAGCTCCTGATTTTGAGCCCTCAGTGCCCCTTTCCAAGGGGAATCTCTCTCTGATCCTGGTGACTGTCTCTGGTATGGCTGGGGCTCTAACCCCTGACTGTCCTTCCCTGTCTTTGTTAGGTATGGTGTTAGGAACAGCCTCCTCCTTTCTCCAATGCCAACTGCTTCCACGGCTCAGATTTTGGGCAATAATGAATCCATCGAGCCCTATACCAGTAACATCTACACACGCCGAGTCCTCTCAGGAGAGTTTCAGGTGAGAAGGCTGGGATCGGGGTGGTAAATGATTTGGTGTTTGGTCAAAAAGACTGGTGGTGTTGCATTATGGTATTGAAGGTATATATCCTTTTCCCCTGCAAAACGGAAGATGCATAGCCAGGAAGTGTATGTACAGAGCTCTAGCCGGGAACTTGTGCCTGTCCTGGACTAGGCTAAATTTGCAGTAATTACAAGTACAAGGAGTGCCAGTTGTGTGGGAGAAGACTAATCAGTACCACTGTGGGGTTGGTTGTTAAATGGAGTACGAAGGAAGAACACCCCAGTTTGGGGGGCAGTTTAGTGGCTGCAGGGCTGGCATGAAGAATGGAAGTGCCATGAGAGAGGTTCCCTTCTGTGCAGGGTTGATCAAATCATACCAACGGGTGATGAGATCAGCATACATGTGTCATGGTGAGGAGGTGGGACAGTGACCAAGCAAGGAGCAGGACAGGGTAGTTCCATGGCATGTCAAGGCTCCATCACTATCTGGAGCCAGGGACTGCATGGGTGGGTCTGTCTCTTGCATGGGGGGTGGTTCCTGCTGTCTGGGAGAGCAGGCAAATTGAAGGTCTAGTCCTGCCCTTCCATGTAAGTCTTTTGACCTGGACTCTCTTGCAGATTGTGAATCCACACTTGCTAAAAGACCTGACAGAGAGGGGCCTCTGGAACGAGGAGATGAAAAACCAAATCATCGCTCACAACGGCTCCATTCAGGTAGGCCAGAGGACTTGCGTTGTGTGAGCAGCAAGGCAGGCATCTCCGAGCAGCCTGTGCATAAATTGGGGGAGGACAGCATGACCAGCCTTGGCCCTGGGGTGCATTTCTCAGCTTTTCTGTAGAAGGAAGAGCTGCAATGTCACTTGGTGATAAGTTGGAGACTCTCCTTGAGGAACACGAGAGGATTCTGGCCTCCGCTGGCTGGTGATGCTGGGGTCTTTTGTGAACGTGTGTAATGGAGACTTCCATCAGACACACACGTTTCCACCAGTTCCAAATAAGAGGGGTGGGAGGTAGAAGATGACTTTCCTCTTCTGTGCAGTGCCAGAGCATGCTTGGGGCTCTGCTCATCTCAGAGTATGCAGGGGGAAACCAGTGCCCCGAGCGGCTATAAAGCAAGAGCCTGCTCCTCTGGTGAAGGGAACTGCAGGGCCCGAGTGCTGTTGGAAATGTCTCTTTCTGTGTACATAACCTGCTTTTGTAGAGTCTGGTTGATGGAAATCTTCCCATTTTGCCCTGAGCTTGGCTGGTCCTGCCTAGCCCAGCCTCCTTATTCTCACTGGGTCAGGGGTTCTTGCCTTTGAGACCTGGCTAAGTAGTGCCTTCTCTCAAAAGTCCCTCAGAAAGGAAACAGTCTGGTTTCAGCTGGTAAGGGAGCCTGTTGTTAAGGGTTATCTAGGGTAGTGTTGGGTGTGACTAGTTCTAGTGAGGGTGCCTTGGTGTTACAGGGGCTGTAGCCTGCTAACCATTTCTATCCCTTTCAGAATATCCCAGAGATCCCCGTGGACTTGAAGCAGCTCTATAAAACTGTGTGGGAAATCTCCCAGAAAACCATCCTTAAGATGGCAGCCGACCGTGGAGCATTCATCGACCAGAGCCAGTCCCTCAACATCCACATTGCGGAGCCCAACTACGGCAAGCTCACCAGCATGCACTTCTATGGCTGGAAGCAGGTACGTGGAGCATACTGCCAGCTGCCAGCCCATGGGTTTTGCTAGGTTAGTGCAGGGCTCGCCTAGTTTTTTTGGATTTAGACAGACCGGATGTCTCTTACCCCTTTCTGCTTCTTTGCAGATTCTCTCTGCTTCTGAAGGGAGAAGCTGGGTGTGTTTCTAGCATTGTTCCCTTCTGTGGATCCTTTCCAGTGCTGAGGGGTGGGTGCAGAGTGCAGGGACGAGAACAGTTACCTGGTGTAGGGGAAGTGCTCTGCAGCCAGAATTTGGCCCCATCCTGTTTAGAGGTGCACCGATATATCAGTCGCATATCGGACCGGCACCGATAGAAGGAAAATTATTATTATTGGCATTCAGCGTTTTTTGGTGCAGCCATTAATGTCACCGATTAAATACCATGTGCATGCGCACAGCCGCAGCGTGCATGTGGTCAGGAATACAGCCTGGCAGCTTGGAAAGCAGTGTCCAGCCGGTAAGTCTATTGGGGGGAAGGAGGGGGTGCAGGTTGAGGCCCCCATGATGGGGGCGGGATTTGGGCAGGGGCAGGTGCTGCCCAGCCAGGGGGGTGAATGTGACCTCTGGGTGGGGCATGGGGTGGAGCTGTGGGTAGCTTGTCTGATGGGGTGAGGAGGGAGCTATGCACAACCCTGAAGGAAGCATGGACAGCATGTGCCTCGCTGGATTTGTACGCGGGGCAAGGGCAGGGGGCTGCACTGGCCTCTTCCTGACCGCGTAGAGAGGCAGGGGGCTGCTGGGCCAGGGCTGTGCTTGGGGCAGGCGGGAGTGGGGTGGGTGGCTGCGGTGCTGGGAGCGGTGGCTACGGCAAATTTTGGGGTGGCTGTAGCTCACTCCGTAGCCACCACTGCCTTGCCGGCCCTGCCCTGGCCCAGCCCCGACCCAGCCCCACCCTGCCAGAAAGAGGTCAGCACAGCCCCCGGCCCTGAGCTTGCAGTGAATAGCCCACCCTCGCCCTGCACACACATCTGGGAGACACATGCTCCCTTGCCTCCCCTGGGGGTGTGTGCAATGGTGGGGAGCTGTCCCCCCTTCGCAGCCCCCCATGTCCCCTGGACGAGCTGCCCATGGCTCTGCCCTGCGCCCCATCCTGGGGTTGCATTCAGCGCCTTGACTGGGCAGTGCCTACCCTGCCTCACTCCCTCCCTCACTGCGGGGGCCTCAATCTGCCCCCACGCCTCTTCCCCACCATGGCTTACCAGCCAGACGCTGCTCTCCAAGCTGCCAGGCTGCATATCGGATCAATATCAGTTGGATAATAATCTTCCATCGGTATCAGCCAAAAACATTTTTATCGGTGCACCCCTCATCCTGATGTCTTGAGCCACAGCAGGTTTTAAAGGTCCGACTCATGCATTTGCTTTGCAGGGCCTGAAGACCGGCATGTACTACTTAAGGACGAAGCCGGCTGCCAACCCCATCCAGTTCACCCTCAACAAGGAGAAGCTCAAAGAGAAAGAGAAGACCTCCAGAGAAGAAGAGGTGAAGGAGAGGAACAAAGCTGCCATGGTGTGCTCGCTGGAGAACCGAGACGAGTGCATGATGTGCGGCTCCTAAAAGGCCAGCCATGTGGGGCCAGCAAGTTGCTCCCTTTGGCTTACTTTCTCCTAGGATAGATAGGTCTAGCTTTACTCTGAGGTGGAGCGTCTTGCTGGAGCTGTGGCTGGAGGTGGTCAGGGAGGAGTGTGCTGTTGCTTTCCCCTGCCTGCAGGCTGCATATGAAGTTTGTCTATCGCTTTTGCAGCTGGGTATCCCAGGAACCTAGTGCTCTTACACGGTCTCGCCTTTTCCGCTCTAGCTAGGATTGTCCTCAGCAGACAGAAAACGTGTCACTGCCTGCTCCCTTCCCGGTCAGTGCTGTGGACTTCAGACCGTTGTTCTGGTTTTCCTGGAGTTCTGTTACTGTGCTTTTGGTAGGGGAGCAGATCCTGACGGGTGAATTTCTTTTGTTGCAGTAAAGCGACAGCGAGGGAAATAGCCTAGCTTGGGTGTATTCCCTGCTTGGTGCTCTCTCTGCCTTGGTGAAAGGGCTATTCTGTCAGGCTGTGGAAGGATGGAGGAGCGAGACAGGGTGCAGACGGGCAAGGTGGATGAGCTGCCTGCAGACTTCACCAGCCCCTTCCAGCCTGACAGAGCTCTGCACTTGCAGAGGTCATCCCCCCACCCCACCAGGAAACAGCAAGGCTGTGACTTTGTGTCTAGGTCTGTATCCAGACCCGGCTTTACTGGGCTGTTTCCTTGAAACTGGCTGATACGTTCTGGACTCACAAACCTTTCTGGCTCACGCCCTCCATCTGCTTCGAGAGCTGAGCTTGTCTGCCTAGGACAGGGGCTCTATCTTTTCTGAACTGTTTTTACCTTCTCGTATCCTGAACTCCTCTCACTGATATAGCTGGACTCCCAGTTCTCAACTATTTATTGACTCCATGTACCACACACATAATTAACCCTTTCAACCAGCTGATGACAATAAAGTGTAGAGTGTAAATGAATGGTGCCCTATGTCTGCAACATCTGATGGATAAAATACACTGTAGGGAAGGCAAAAGAATGGTCTGTCCGGTCCCTCTTCACGTGGTGGTAGTATGGCAGGATGTGGCTCGGGATTTCCCATGGTGCCTGGGAGATGCACACGCAGCACAGGACAGGGCTCTGGTCTCAAAGAGCCAGTTCTGCAGCCCTGAAAGGGATGCCTTGTGCAGCCATGTCCGGCAGCGGAGCTCAGTGGCGAATCCCTGATGCTTGCAGGCAGGAAGGCCAGCTGAGGTCAGCAGGGGGCTGTATTTTGACATCGTTTTGAAGAGTGGGCTTGAGTAGGAGAGAGAAGCTAGGGGTGAGGAGGAGGAGGCGGATAGGAAATTCAAGTGTGATGGGAACAGCCTAAGCTCACATGGGGACGTGGGTGTGTGTCACTAGCTGGGAACAGTCGGCGGTCACATGTACGTGTGAAGTAGGAGTTGAACCTGGATTTTCAAAGTGCTGTCTGGCACTTGGCCAAGGACCTCCTTCCCTGCCCTGCAGAGAGTGTGCCAGCTCACGCAGGATCACAGAAAATGAGGGTGGGAAGAGATGTCACATCTGGTCCAACCTCCTGCTCAAAGCAGGACCAGCCCCAACCACATCATCCCAGCCAAGACTTTGGCTACCTGGGTCTTCAAAACCTCCAAGGATGAAAATGCCACCACCTCTCTGGGGAGCCTGTTCAGTGCTTCACCCTAATGAAGGAGTTTTTCCAAATCTCCAACCTCAGCTTCCCTCGCTGCAGTTTGAGCCCATTGCTCCTTGTCCTGTCACCTGCCCCCACTGAGAAGAGCCCAGCTCTGTCCTCTTTGCAACCCCCCACAAGGAAGTTGAAGGCTGCTATCAAATCCCCCCTCGGTCTTCTCCAGACTAAATCAGCCCAGTTCCCTTAGTTTCTCCTCACAAGGCCTGTCCCCCAGGACCCCAGACCATTTTCCTTTCCCCCCACTGGACTCCAGTGTGTCCACATCCTTTCTGTAGTGGGGAGCCCAGAACTGGACACAGGACTCCAGATGGGCACAGTACTTAGCAGGAGCCTTTGGTGCAACAGGAAAGCATGGTGTTTGCAAAGAGAAAGGGGGTCTGGGAGCCAGGGCTGGGCTGCGGGGGAGGATGTGGGCTGGAGGCAAAGAGCAGAGGAGCAACTGCAGGCATGATGGAGACTAGCAGGTGCGAACAGTGAGGAGGTTTGTGGCTGCAGGTCATGGCTGTCCTCTGCTCAGCTCGGCCTCGGCTGCAGTCCAGCGTTATCTCCTTCAAACATAGCCTGGGTCAGCTCTCGGGCTGCAGTAGCCCTGGGGGCAGATAAGCCTCCTCCGTGGCCTGACCCCTTCCAAGGCTTGTCACTCGGTGCTAGGCCTGCAGTCTGTCCCTGCCTGTCCCTCTGCCTGGACTCCTTTGTTCTCGGTGGAGTGGAAGGCAGCTGGGCATGGGCTCTGCTCCGCAGCAAAGGTCCCATTTATCTGGTGCCTCTGCCCAAACCACAGCAGTGGTTGTGCGGGGGCTGAACACACCCTGCTTGCTCTCACACGCACCACGTGTTTGGGAGAGGAAGGAGGTAGAAACTCCTTTGCTGGGGGGAGGTCACTGGATGTTGTGGGATGAGGAGGATGCTGTTGTATCACACTATGGAAGAGAAGTTCGGAGCTGCCAACCCCGACCCTCGCTTTTGCTGCGTCCCCAGCCCACCGCAGAGGGGCACCTTAATCCCTGGTTAGCAAGTGAATATCTCAGGTCTCTTCCACTTTTCCCTCCTGCATCGCAGACCTGACGGGAGGGATGGAGCATGCCATCCTCCCAGCGCTGGGCCATGCTGAGGGCCTTCCCAGGATGTGGATTCCCAAGTCCCTCTGCTGATGAGTTATATTTGGGCCTCCTGCTTCCCGGGCGAGTCCCATAACCAGGAGGGGCATAGACCACCCTCCTCCCAGGGAAGAGTGCCAGTCCTCCAGCTCCAAAGGGAAGCCTCGTGCAGCTGCCTCCAGGAGCCCTGTTGCACCTCAGCCCCGAACTCCAGGAGTCGTGGGGTGGATTTCATCCTCGTGCCTTGTCTGTGGTTAGCGAGCTGCTCTGAATCCTGTTTCCAAGTGCCCAGCTTTTGCTCCCTCCTTCCCTCTACAGCAAGCTCAGGCAGCAAACATGGAGTGAAGGTCTCTGCCCCCTGAGCCCTATCCTGTGGTGCTGGCGATAGGGGCAATCCGTAGAACTAGACCCCATTGTGGATCAGGCCTTGGGGCGGAGGAAAACTTAGGCTTTAGCTCGCTGAGAAGGATCTGGGGCCTCTGGCTGTTGTCAACCCTGGCCATTTGCAAGGGGCCTTGACCAAACTAGGTCTGTGGCTAAGCAGAAGGCCCCAAAATCTGTTTCTGGAAGACCAGAGCGAATTTTTGCAGATGTGACAACCAGCTTGGTCAGCAAAGGAAAGCCATCAACATGTCCAGCTAAACCAGTTCTGGGATCCAATTAAACAGAGCACGAGGCCTGAAGAGACCCTATAAAGGCAGACCATACATTCACTAATCCAAGGATACTATATCGTAGTTTTAGTTTATGGTAATTGATGCAATCACATGGATTAGAGGCTGTTTTGCTACAGTAGATATTTTTTGTTAAAATTCCTAGATAAGTGGGAACAACAAAGCAGCCTTGTTTACGGAGAGCCGTGCATTTTTGGGGACGAGGAAAACTGGAGCGGGGCAAGCAGTATCCCATCATGGGGAAGGAAGGAGATGAACATTTCTTCCTTCTAAAAATGTAACTTCCACAGAAACATAGGGCACGTCTACATGTGTGTTAGTGCTCATTAAATCTAGTACCTCCATTGTGAGGGACTAAGAAAATGCGCATTATCCTGTCTTCATGTGCATTAACTAAAAAGCACCAGGAAGAGCACACACCAACTGCAGGTGCTTCCTCAGCCTGACGAAGGGTACTTGTACCCGAAAGCTTCCTAAGAGGAATTTTCCCAACTATTTAAGCTGGTCTAATAAAAGATATCGGATTCACCCAAAGAACCTTGTCAGTTTTTAAGTGGCACTTAATTGTCCATCAGCCTATTTTAATGTGCATTAACTAAATAGCATGGTTTTTTTAGTGATGCTATAATGTGCATTAAGATAGGCTAATGCACATTAAAGTGCACGTGTAGATGCACCCATAGATCCCAGCCTCAGGAAAACTGGTTCAAACCGGTTCCAAAAGTTTCAGCGAGACAAAGGGATTTAAATAAAACCAACCAGAGGGGATTTATTAGAGTATTTGAATACATTATAATAATAATAATAATAACATAACCATGTACTGTTAATATAATAATAGTATAACCATACATTATTAATATAACGATAGTAGTATAACTCTATATTATTAATATAATAGTATTATAACCGTATATTATTAATATAATAGTAGTATTATTATAACCATATATTATTAATACAACAAGTAGAACAAGAAGGAAAAGATAGCCATGTATTTCTATGGGGCAGAGGCTGGAGGGAAATTTGGAGAGCTCAGCAGTTTGAAGAAGACTTGCTGCCAGTCCTCCCTCATCTTGAGTCTCCCAGCTGGGGTAGAGGAGAAGCGATGTGCTGGGAAGCCAGATAGACTTTGGGATAAGTGTTTGCTTTTGTGTTTTAAAAGGAAGCAGTTAAAAGCTCGGCCAGCGGGCCTGTTTCTGCCTCTTATCAGTCTCCAACCTGCAAGGTGACCCATAGTCCAGGTAACACGGTGGATCACTGAATCAACATGATGCCAAAAAAGAAAGCAAATGCAATGTTGAATGTGGGTGGCATTAACAGGGGTCTAGTACCTAAGACACAGGAGGGGACACAGAGCCACCACTCGGCACCGCCTAAGTCTCAGCAGGAGCCCGGCGGGCACGTGCGCGCTCTGCATTGCAAGAACACGCAGAGGAACTGGAGAGGGTCCCGAGGCGGGTGACAGGTGCTCGGCCATAGGAGGGCAGGTGGCAGGAATGTGAGGCATGTTTAGTCGGGAGACGAAGGGGGCGTTCAAAGACTTGAAATATTGCCATGAAGAGGGGGAGCAACCGCTCTGCTTCGCTGCAAGGGGCAGGATGTGTTGAAAAGACAGCACGGCCGATTTTGAGGCAAGCTTCCCAGCTCAGAGCAGCCGGACGATGGGCATTGCTCTGACAGGAGCGGCCAGATGGGCACCTGCCTGGGGAAGGTCGGGAGCAGCACATCTGGCGTCATGCTGGCAGCTGGATTGGATGACCCTGGCCGTCCAGGGGGGCTGTGATTAGATCCGTGGCCCCTTCTCCCCCAGACAGCCCTGCATCCCCCCTGCCACAGTCGGACGCAGCTCCAGCTTAGCCAGGTGGGTTTGGACCCTGCTGCTCTGACAGCTGGACCCCTGCTCCTAATTTCCAGCTTAAATTTACCCCTGGCCCAAACCTGGGAAGGAAGCTTTCCTGAAATGATCCTATATTTATCCTCATTCGTCCTGCCAGAGTTGGCTGTCAGCTCGCAAGGCTCTCCTCCCTCCCAGGCTGGGGATAGCAATCATTGCCGTGCAAGGTTAAATGAGCCAAGCTCTCTGTCTCATGTCACCCAGTCAGGTCCCCGTTCCTCAGGTATCCCGAAAACACCTTGGTGTGTCTGTTCAGAAACACCCGTCATTGCTCCGCAGCTCTGTGATCTTACATGTTTTTGGCAGGTGCTGGTAGCTGGGGATACACAACTAAGTGGAGCTGCTATTTTTAATACGTTCTTTTTTAGAGTCGGTTTGGGCAGGAGAGGAAGGGATTTCTGCTCTGTGCATCAGGCAGGTTTTAACTTGGGACTCAAACCTGCAGGGTCCTGGCTAGAGGGTCCTGCCCCTCTGCTCAGGGTCAGACCAACACTGCATTGGGGTTTCTGTACCAGCCCCATTGCTCTAGGTTTCTCTGACTTTGTCTGTGCCCTCTGGGCATTGCAGTGAAAAAACATTCAGATAAGCAGTAATTTTCTTCATGACATTGAGTCTAAGGAGCAGATCCTAGGGGTTTTTTTTAATCAACAAAGCATTTTTGCACAGGAGGGAACATAGGAGACAAATTGCACAGCGTGATATAATTATATCACGTCTTTGGCACATTGCTGCAGTTGCTGTACAGAGCAGTGAGCTATGGAAAGCAAATGGTGCCTCCTTGATTTCCAGCTCGGGGCTGTGCCTACACGAGACGCTTTACTGCGCAGTAGACTAATCTACTGCGCAGCAAAGTGTCCCCACCTCGCGTGCAGGCACTTACTGCACAGTAGATTAATCTGCTGCACAGTAGATTTATTACCTGCATATGCAGATTTACTGTGATTTACTGTGCAGTAAAGCCAACTAGCATTAATTGCATGTGCAGACACACTCCATGTAAACCCACCCGCAACCTGAAACACAGCCCTCCAGAGAGTGCAATCGTGCTCGTTAGCAATACCATGTTTCCTGGACCCGTTGCTGACCACACGGTTCTGCGTTAGTTTAATTGTCGTAATACTTAGCATTGATGTAACACGTCTCATCTTCACAAATGTGAGAAAGGCGAGATGTAGGAGGAAACGTTGAGAGCACTGGGTATGTTTAGTTTAGGGGAGAGGTGATTAAGGGGGGATTTGATAGCAGACTGCCCAGGGGAGCTGTGGGACCTGCTTTGGAGGGTTTCAAGGAGAGGCTGGAAATGCACTGGGCAGGGCAGGTGTAGCAGTAGCATCCTTTGACAGGCTGCGGTGAACTGCATTGATGGCAGTGGGGCTACATGGATCTGTACCCGCCGAGAGGCCAAAATATTTAGACATCACATTGAACTGGGATTTAGGTGTTCATATTCACGGACTTAAACCTGGGCTTTGAGTGTTGACTGCTCCCGTTATTTGCTGTGATGGCCATCCTGCAACATGACTTTGGGATTTGGGTGCATGTTGCTCTAGGGAAAAGGGCAGAGCAGCGAAGACGTCTCATGACAGATCCAGTGGTGTGAGCTGGGGGGTGCCCCACGGGCATCCCAGCTCCAAATCACAGTGAAGCAGGGCTAGCAGGGCCCTGAGGAGATCACATCCGACTCCAGGCAAGTTCAGCCCTGCCTAAACCATCCCAGCCACAAACAGTCCTAGTGATGGCGATGCTACAGCCTCTGGAGTTGATATGTTATGGACTGGGTCAGACCCTAGCCCCATGTCGTGCCCAGTCCCTTGTGTCACCATGGCTGGAAGGGAGTAGATTGGGGCTGACCAGGTTTTTCCCCTCCCTGTTCCTCTCCCACTTGCAGTCTCCAGCATTTAAGGTCAAGGAAGTTCTGATTCAGCATTGCAAAATTCTTCCTAATTTCCAGCTGAAATTTGCCTTGCTTTGATTTAAGACCATTACTACTTGTCCTCTCCCCTGCAGCCATGGAGAACAGAATTGCCAAGAAGGCCACCAGCATCCTGGGCTGCATTGGGAGGAGCGCTGCCAGCAGATCAAGGGACTTGATTCTTCCCCTCTATTCAGCACTGGGGAAGCCACATCTGGAGTCCTGTGCCCAGTTGTGGGCCCCCCACTACAGAAAGGATGTGGATGTATCGGAAAGAGTCCAGTGGAGGGCAATGAAAATGGTCGTGGGGCTGGGGGACAGGACTGGTGAGAAGCAGCTGAGGGAATTGGTCTTATTTAGTCTGCAGAAGAGAAGACCGAGGGGGATTGAATAGCAGCCTTCAACTCTGTAAGGGGGCTGCAAAGAGGATAGAGCTGGACTGGTCTCAGTGGGAGCAGATGACAGGACAAGGAGCAACGGGCTCAAGCTGCAGCAAGGGAAGTTGAGGTTGGATATTAGGAAAAACTTTCTCACCAGGAGGGTGGTGAAGCCCTGGAGCAGGCTCCCCAGAGAGGTGGTGGAGTCTCCATCCTTGGAGGTGTTTAAGACCCAGTTCAACAAGGCCTTGGCTGGGATGGTGAAATTGGGTCTGGTCCTGCTTTGTGCAGGGGGTTGGACTAGTTGTGACCTCCTGAGGTCCCTTCAGCCCTCATTTTCTATGATCCCATGCATAGTGAGCCATGGTCCCCTCTATAGCCATTCTTCAGGTATTTGAAGGGTGTATCAACCCCCCTGTGCTTGAACGTCTGTCCCAGTCAATGCAATAAAAGATAGCCCCGGAAGACCCTTGCCTCTATCAAATCCCTTGAGAAGAGACAGCCAAATTTCATAGATTTCCAGCCCTAATGTTTTTGAAATCTTTGTCGTCTCTTCTCCAGACTCAGTAATCCCAGTTCTTCCATCTTTTCTTTGCAATGGGTTGTTACAGCCTGGGAGCCTGGTCGTGCCAGAAACCTATGTGCCTTCAGTACACTACCCTGCTTGGCCATGCAGGCTCTGGCACATGTCTGCCCTTCACAAGAGGTAACTATGATCCTAGCTTTGTAAAAGAAGACCTGCCCAGACCTCAGCTCATGGCTCAGCTTCCCATATCCAGCATTGGTGGTTTGTGTTTCCATGCCCCTGCTTGCAGCGGATTACGAAAGATGGAGCAATTAGACAAAGCGGAGCCGGTCGCGGTACAGAGCCCCCAGCTAGAGAGAGGCAACCAGGCATTTGCAGCAGCGGAGATCCCCAGACAGAAAGGGAGCCCCGCGGTGACCTAAAGGGAGGCTGACACCGTGTCCTCTCTGGTAGCTCTTTTTGGAAGAAGTTGTTCATACTTCCCTGTGGCCGGTGGGACTTTCCCACTCCTGCACATGGAGCTCGGCTGGGATTTGAATCGACTCCCAGGTTTCCAACAGACCCAGCAAAACTCTCTCCCTGCTCAAACTGACCTCAATGCTTGACTTAGAGGGGCCTTTTCCCCCAGGGCAAGATCAGTCCTGCTCTTTTCCACCTTTAAACAAGAGACATCTGGGGCTGGAGTGAACTCAATTCAGGGACAGGATACAAGGTGTTATCATGATCGCAGCAAGGAGCAGTTAACTCCCACGTCCTCTCCTTGCTCCTTTTCTTTGTTTGCAGCTGGCCTGTCCTTGCAGTTCAGCCTCATCGCATTTTCTCGTTGACCTGGCTTTTTTCTTTTTGCCTAGTGAGAAGCAGAAATGAGGAGCCCAGGCATGCTGGGGACGGGCATGGAGAATGGATCAAGAATAACACGGAGTTACTCCTTCGTGTTCAGGGCTGCTTTTCTGAAGGGGATGAAGACAGACCCTCTTCTCTTGAACAGTTTCAGGAGGTGTTGCCTGACCTCCTTGGTCCTCAGGCCATAGATGATGGGGTTCACGGCGCACGGCACCAGCAGGTAGATCGCGCTTATCAGGTTGTGCATGTCCTGGGAGACAGACTTCCCCACTCGATACACGACTGAGGAGGAGAGGCTGGAGAAATAGAAGATGAGGATGACTATGAGGTGGGTGCCGCAGGTGTGGAAGGCTTTGTGCCGAATATTCCCAGAGGCCATCTTCAGAGCCGCATGAGTTATGCGGCTGTAGGACATCAGGAGGAAACCCAGGTCAAAGATGATGGTGATGGACCTCATTGTCAACCCCACAATCTTGTTCCTGGAGACGTCCCCACACGACAAGCAAATCAGGGCCATGTGCTCGCACACAAAGTGCCGGATGATGTTGGAGCGGCAGTACCGCACCTGGGAGGCCAGGATCACCACGGGGCTAACGAACGAGACGCTCCTCACCAGGGCCATGGCCGTCAGCTGGATCAGCAGCTTGTTGGTCATGACATCTGCATAGCGCAGGGGGTTGCACACAGCCACGTACCGGTCCAGAGCCATCATGAGCAGGATGGTGCAGTCTAGCATGAGGAAGAAGTAGAGGAAGAACATCTGCACCAGGCAGCCCGTCAGGGAGATGCGGCTGACATCGAACAGGAAGCTCAGGAGCATCCTAGGCACGACGGTAGTTGTGCAACAGAGGTTGGTGGCAAGGAGCAAAGCAATGAGCAGGTACATGGGGGAGTGGAGGCTCCTCTCGACCTTCACCGTGTAGATGAGGAGGGAGTTGGCTGCAACGATCATCACGTAGAGGCAGAAGAAGGGGATGAAGAGCAGGAACCGGGATTCCTGGAGCCCAGGGAAGCCAAGGAGGTGAAACTCTTGATAGGAGACATTGGCAGAGTCATTGTGGGTCCTTGCTGGCATCCTGGGGCCCGGCAGCCTCTCCTCTAACCTCTGGACTGGTCTGGAGGTGAAAAAGACACGTGGGGGTCATCTCTCCGTTCATGTCAGCACCTTCCCTGGCCATGCTGGGCTGGCCCACCGGATGAAACCTATCCTTTTTTGGGGTCCCCGTGCCTAAAGGTGGGGCTACATACCAAAGCAATATGACTGGTGGGCTGCAGGGATAACTGGCCCTGGCTCACAAGGCAGAAACTTGGCTCAGGTCAGGCCTGGAGTAGAAGCAGCAGCTGCTTCCCATGTGCATTTGTAGCCTGACTAGCCCACCGATTCCCTGCCCGTCCGCTCGTGCAGTAGCTGCTTGGGTTGACGTTTGCACCCATAACGTGCATGTCAATGTGACTGCACTAGCGCTCACAGAGCTTCAGGTTCATTGCCATATATCGTGGATGTGCCCACTGCAATAAGGACATTGCTGCACTGGTTCTGCCACGGCCTCTCTTGCTCCCAGGAGCTTGGGCTGAGTAGACACTGCTCAGGATTGGGGCAACTGGGGCAGAGGTGAGGTTTGCACAAGGTCTCTTGGTATCCGAGCTCATCCAGCCTCTTTTGGGAGCGCTGGTCGAAGAGACTAAGGGGCTGCTGTGCTGGGGGTTTTGATCATGGCTGGGGGCCCTAAATGGCCTCCTGCGACTAGCATAGAGTGGGGCCAGGAGCTTCGTGCATGTGGCATCCAGTAGCACGGTCGCGTCTGTTTGTCCGGCTCTGGGCACGGGGACCATGGTGCAGCAGAGGAGGAAGGATAGACCAGTTCATCGCAGCCTTTTCCCAGCCTCCCTCCCTGGCTTCCCCCTCTACATGGCCTCCACTATCAGCCTCTGGTCCTCACTGCCTGAGCTCCTCTAGATCCAGCCCCTCTGGAGCACTGCCAGATCCCTCCTCCGTTCAGTCCATGATCGGCTCTGAAACAGTCTCCTCTGGGGTTTCTCCCACCCAGCTCCTCACACTGGCACGGTACCTTGTCACTGCCCCGTTAGACCCCTCCTTGGCCCTGGTGGCTGCTGCCCCAATCTCGGTCCTACCTCACTGCCCCTGTGCTCCCCTCGGTCTGTGTCCTGCTGCTCGGGGGCGGGGACTGGCTTTTTGCTTCTATGGTCATACAGCACCTGGTGCAGAGGGGGGTCTTGGTCCATGACCAGGACCCTCTGGATTATGTTAATACCAATTCCAATTCATATTTCCAGGGTATTTCCCCCCCACAGCAGAAGGAGGAAGCCCAAGGGATTTTGCAAGGAAGCTCACAGAAAACTCGAGCCTGCCTGGGGTGAATCCCATGGACAGCTGTGTGCAGAATCGGACCCTGCCTTAACAAGGTAATCAGGTCCAAGGTGCACGCTCCTGCTTGGGCTGGAAGTGTCCAGGGCCCTTCTGAACCTCTTCAAATAGGAACTAATCACTGTTAGCCCCAAAGCCAGCCCTGGACCTGGTAGGGACCAAACTGAGTCATAGATGCATTGAAAATGAGGGTTGGAGGGGACCTCGGGAGGTCACGTCTAGTGCAACCCAGGACCAGCCCCAACTACATCATCCCATCAGAGTCTGAGTTCATCGGTGCTTCCCTTGTGTCACCCACTCCTCTGGTCCCTCACTCCAAATGCTAAATCCCTGCTTGCGCCCTGTGTCTCCAGCACCCACCCTGCCCCTGTCCAGGCCAAGACCTTTCCTCCCTAGGACACAAGAGGGAAAATCAGGGAAGGGCATTAGGGTCTTGGAGTCTGGAAGCCTCTGTTCAGACCCTGGGTGGAGAGGTCCTGACGGGTGACCTCGTGGCAGCTCTGAACTGGGATATAAAGGATTTCCTTGCAGCACCGGGTCTCAGTCCAGCTACATGTCCCCTAATGGCAAGCCTTGACTCCAAGCATATGGCCGTACTCACCACGGTCAGCTGAGACCCTTTAAGACTGGCACCAGGATGCCGGCACGTGTGAACTGGTGCTGGGATCTCCAAACAGGGGGTATTTATTCTGTCTGCTGATGTTTCACCCCAAGGTTTCAGGCAGACCCTGGAGTCCCAGATGCAGCTGAGGTTTTTTTTTTAGAACTAGAGATTTCGGTCTCTAGAGATCAACAAGGCAATGACCTGAATCCAGGCAGTTGGGAGGTAGATAAGCAATAACGAGATATTGCATTAGGGACAACAGACAGAAACTCAAGGGAAGGTGCCAGTCTGTGAGCAGAGATGCAGAGAGAGCCAGAAGGAGGAAGAGCCACGTGTGTTTGCGTGTGGGATGATGCTGTGGATCGTGTCCAGCCCATAAGGCAGTGGGGTGGAGAGAAAGTTTGGCCCCCGTCACAGGGCAGGAGGGGAGAGCGTGGCTGGTGACCTTAAACACGGTCCGATTGTCAGGCCCAGATACCTGACACTTGAGTGCTGTAGGGTGTGGACAAAATGACAACTTCCAGTACGTTAAAAGGAGCAGCTTTCCCCAAACCGCTGGGTTTCCTGAGTATCCCCTGGTCCGTGCTAACTGCCAGCATGCATGTGTCTACCCTACAGCGAGTGATGCCTGAACTGCGGTAATTCGGCCTGGAATGAAAGAAGTGCAATGTGTCTTCACCCTATATGGAAATCCTAGTCCAACCCCTGTCGGAGGCAGGATCAGCCCTGTCCAAACCAGCCCAGACACATCCATAGGTTAACCTTTTAGCAAGCTACATAGTTCCCCCTGACATCACCCCCACCCTGCCACAGGAGGGAAAGCAGGGGGACCGCGGTGGCCAATGTCCTGTTGCAAAGGGTGTTAATTTACTCTCAAGGCATCCCAGGCAGTGGCTGTGTCCCCCACTATAGAGGAAAGCAAACCCTGCAGTCCATACCAATCTCATGGCGGGGCAGGGGGAAATCTAGGGTTCTCTGACTTTATCTAGGCCCTCTGGGCATTGCAGTGAAAAAACATTCAGATAAGCAGTAATTTTCTCCATGTCATTGAGTCTAAGGAGCAGCTATTAGTTTTTCTTTTTAATCAACATAGCATTTTTGCACAGGAGGGAGCATAGGAGACAAATTACACACAGTGATTTAACTATATCACGTCTTCGGCACATTGCTGCAGTTGCTGTAAGAGCAGTGAGCTATGGAAAGCAAATGGTGCCTCCTTGATTTCCAGCTCAGGGGCTGTGCCTACACGAGACGCTTTGCTGCGCAGTAGACTAATCTACTGTGCAGCAAAGCATCACTACCTCACGTGCAGGCGCTTTCTGCACAGTAGATTAGTCTGCTGCACAGTCAATTTATTACCTGCACGTGCAGGTAGTATGCATATGCAGGTAGTAGATTTACTGTGCAGTAAAGCCAAATAGCATTAATTGCATGTGTAGATGCACGCAGTGTAAGCCCACCTGCAAACTGAAACACAACCCTTCAGAGAGTGCATTCATGCTCGTTAGCAACACTGGTTTTGCCTTTTGAGCAGGATGACTGCGGTCAGTGCATAGGGTGCTTCCAATACCACCAAGCCCATGGCCCATAATCCAGCCCTTTACCCAGGTGCAGTAGACCCTCACCCCAGGAGCCTGTGACCTGAAGAGAGGCCACGATGTGTAAGGAAGCAGCTAGAGCAGGGGTTGCTTCTGGGTGAGGGGGTCCCGTTTGCTGAGCCTGTGTCCTGATCCCTGAGCTGAGGGCTGGGAGGGTCCACTCCGCTCCACCCTGCAACTTGCTAAGAGCAAAGTGCCTCCTTGGAGGGACTGGGGTCTAAAGTCTGGGTGAGGGTCCTGATACAGTTGTGAACGATGTGGAATCCATGCCTGGAAAAGAGACCAATTCTTGTGCACCGGGGTTTAGCCCACGTATGAGGGGTTATGAGTTGCCTCTCACTGCCCGGGCTTGTTACCCCTCCTCTGCCCAGTGCCAGACGCTTGCACCTTCTGGTTCACCTGGTGCTATATGGACTTTGGTGCTGTAGCCCTATACAAAAGCAGCTGTGCCCAGCTGTGCGGACCCTGGGGCTGGTCTACCTTCAGCACAAGCCAGCTGCATGCTGCAGGCCCTGGGAACAGAGACCCAGCAGAGAGGGAAAAAGGGATACTGTAGGGCACGGTTGGGAACTATGGGGTGGAAGGGACCTCCTGCGACAGTGAGCCCAGGCCCCGCTGCCACGGACCAGCTCCTTCCTCCATTACTGAAGCTCCATCTCAGTCCATCAGGCTTTTTGCCCTCACCACTGTTTCAAAGCCTCCCTGCTTGCATGGTTAGAAACATTGCCCTTCCCTGCCTGAACTAGTTCATAGCCCATTTCTACCTATTTTTCCCTGTCCTTTATCTCGATCATCTCTTCTTACCCTTGGTGTTTACCTCCTGCATCTCCCCTGTCTTTATATGTGATGTCCTCCCTCGTGGTGGACCTCATTGTACTAGGTCAACAGGCCAAAGTCCTCTTGCACTCTTTTATTCAGGTGCTTTCCCCTTTTTGGCTTCACTTTGCCAGCCCTTCTGTGTTTCTGCTCCTGGTCAGGTTCAGTGATGTCTTTTCCGCTCTTCTTTGTCATTAACGCCCTTCTTTAAAGACCATGAAAGATGCTGGAAAGCTGACGACACAACCAGCCGGTGTGAACGGTACCTGGGTGCAGTCCCCTAGCAAGCGTCTGAGTGGTATGTGGGTGTGGGGGGATTTATCAGCTTTTGGCCCATGCCTGAAATGCACGTGTGACCCCAATGCATGGGGCTGGCATAGAGGAGGGTAAGAGACCTACTACAGCTGCCTGCTAAAGGATTTGTCTTGGGTTTGTTGAGGGCTTGGTGCATTTTGCCCCATGGTGAACTTGGGGTTTAGGACCATGGTGTACACAAGTCCCTATTGCCTGCTCCTATGGCATTCCTCTTTTGTAACCAAGGAAAGTCCAGTGTAAAAGGCCCAAATAGTCCTGGCATCTCCCCAAGGGGAAATAGCTTCCTCCCTAGTCCATGAGGCCTCCCCTGGGCAGTGTGGGAGGTGGGTGCGAATCCCCCCAGGTGAGGAAGACCTTGAGCCCAGGTGCCCACATCCTGGACAGCCACTGCTGACAGCATCTGGCTATCATAGTAGGGACGGCTTTCAATTAGGTTTTAGAGGGAACGATGAGCAAAACCCTCCAGCCACAGGGCTAGCAATCCAGGTGGAAGAGGACCCAAAGCAGCAGCTCAGTTCAGGGGATGGGCTGGAGAGGCAGAGGACCACAAATCTGCAGCTCCCCTGCCAAGTCCTCCCCTGTCGCCAACACCAAGTCCAGTAAGGCATCCCCCTGGCGGGACTGTATCCCTCCTGCAGTAGGTGACGGTCCTGCATGCAGGTTAAGGACCTATGTGAACGGGTGGATTTGGCTGACTGCTCCTCCCAGCAGATGTCTGGGTAGTTGAAGTCCCCCATAACAACCACGTCCCTAGACCGTACAGCCTCTGAGAGCTGCCTCAAGAACTCTAAGTCAAGCTTTTCCTCTTGGTGTGGTGGTCTGTAGCAGACCCCCACCACCAAGTCCCTTTCCCCTCGACCTCCATGTACCCTAACCCCCAATGTCTCTACTTTCTTCTCCTCTGAGTTAGGGGCTGTGGGTAGGGAGTGAGGGGCACTGGCAGTGCAGGGTGGGCAGGGGCTGTGGGTTGGGAATGAAGGGCATGGCGGCGCTGTGAGGGGCAGGGGCTGCTCATGCACATGTCGGGGTCGGGGCAGCGAGTCCCCCGTGCCTGTGGGGATGGAGAGGGGGAGCAGGAGCTCGGCCGGGTCAGGATGCCTGGGTGTGTTGGGGCTCAGGCTCCATGTACTAGTTCAAATGGGCACTGCCAGTCCAGCCCAGCATTGGGGGAGGGAGGCCCAGTGGGCAGAGCGTGGTGCAGCTGGGCCCAGATGTCTGGGTTTCCTGGGAAGCAGCTGGGGGTGCTGGTGCCGCCCCCCCCGCATGGCCACGGTGTGGGCCGACTGCCTGGCAGGGATGCAGGTGGTGTGGGGCGAGCAGGGGCTGACACCGAGCTTGTGGTGCCAGAGCCCGACGACCCCTTGGGGCAGCTCAGGAGTGACCCCTTCCCGGGGAAGGAGCCCCTACATCCTTGTGGGGCTGGAGCCTGGCAGGGAGCGGGCACCTGTCCGGGGGGGTGGGGAAGGTGCTAGAGGAGAAGGCAGCCAGGACCAGGGAGCATGTTGGGGCGGGGCTTTGTCCCACTACTGGGAGTCCTGCAGTTACCTGCAGGTCAGGGGCTGCCGAGGCAGAGGGGCTCTGGGATCCGGGGCTGGGCTGTGCCAGGGGGTTTGTGCAGCACCGCACTCACACGGGCACGAGCTGTTCTCTGCACCTGCCCAGTCTCCCCGGCCCCAGCGCAGGGGCTGCTCAGGGCTGGGGGTGGCAGGCAGGGGCCCTGCAGCAGCAGGCGGGTCCTGTCCTCACACAGACCCGCTGCTTGCAGACAGGTTCCCGTCCGGGCACAGGACGCGGCCGGGCCACCGCCAGCAGCAGGCTCAGACCAGGCCTGGCCAGGGGGGTGCAGTGGGATGGGGATGCTGTCAGGGGACAGCAGAGCCCCCCCCTTGCAGGTCCTGCCCGGCCCAGAGACCTCTGCACAGGGCTGGGAAGAGAGAAACCAACAGCACACACATGAGCACAACCCTCGGTGCACATCTATTCTCTGACCAGCTGAAGTGCCCGCTCTTCTCCTGGCACATTAATTTTGAAATTGCAGCGTGTGTTTATTTTCAAAGGACTTAGTACAACACATTTAGATCAAAAATATTGTGTATTTTTAGAAAACATAGTACAACAGCTTTAAAATTTAAGATTTAACACGGCACAGCAAAAAATAAAAATAAAAGGCTGTCATATTGAATGTAATATTTGAATGCTTATAATAGTTGCCCATTAGCCAGTTTAGAAAAAAGACAAGATTCATCTTCTTATCTAGGCCATTGTTTTGGTCTACATGCGGAAGGTCCTGACTTTGCTCAGTCTTAACTCTTGAATTTTATCTTTAGAGGCCTTTAACAAAGTTAACCTAAAAATGACCCTTAAGCAAACATCCCACATTCTGAGAGATCAAACCCTAGGAGCCTTTGAAAAGATTGGAAAGAAAGGAAATTCCCCAAAGTAATTAAATGATCAACAAAAGAAACTAATTACCAAGCAAAAGAATCTGTTGAGAAAGATCCGAGCCCAAATTTGGGAGTAGTGACAGGTTTGGGTAGGAGGGGCCCAGGATGGCAACTCACTCAATAAAAACTGTAACCTACTGTCCCAATTTGGAGGTAACCTCACTTGCAGAACAACGAAGGAAGAATCGCAAGTGTAGGCCGGATCAGGCCGATCACCTGAACCACCCTCTCCGTGAACACGAATCTCTTAGTTCATGC